TCCAGAGGATATTTAATTAATTTAAAATCAAGGACACATCAATTTTATTTCCAAATTGTTTTCCTTTGTTCACTGAGCAATACAATATTTTTATTTTATTTTTTATGATTTTTTTACACACAGCTATAGATTTTATAAGTTCTGGAATTAAAACAAATAAAAAATCATTTAATTTTCTACTTATGCAAGTCAGCGCCAACTCATCCTACGGCGGCTCTGAAAGACCACGTGGTGCCATTTGATTCACCGTAGCATCAGCTACCACACAAGCAACAATTTATGTTCTATTTCTCTATCCGACGCGATCCTAGCCATTCATCTGATACATAATCCAATGACTGTGGATCATGGTCCCCAATGACCAGAACCCGTGAACCGATCAACTTCAAACCCTAAGATACCTACTTAGACTCAATCAAATCACTTCGGGTTTGTTCCTACACCTTCATCTACTCAAGACAAACACATCTATATGGCTAATCAAGTATGGGGATAAACTTTTCTTCATAAAATACCAAACTGAGATTGATTTGGGAGAAAATGGTGCATGCCTTGGTCCAAAAGGTGTAGCCTCGATTGAAATGGTTCTTCACATTCGTTGTGATCTCACAAAGCTCCTCCAATTATTGATTTGAGCTGAGGTTGAGTCTAACCAAGAACTCAATTAGAGAGTGGTGTGACCTTGGTCCTACAGTTAGTTGGAGAGCTCAAAATGATGGGGCTCAAGTGGAAAAGTTCTCTTTCAGCTCTGATGAAGCTTAAGGACCCTTCAATTTGGATTTTGAGTGAGTTTGGTGGGGTGGCCAAAAAATTTCCTGAAATTGGGCTTGAAAATTAGGCTCAGATAGTGGGGAGGATACCTAGAAGATGATTGGATTGGGCTCAGGGAAGTTTGGAGAAGCTCTGGTGAGGTTTTGGCAGTGCCTCCCCAGGGAATTGGATCATCTCTATACTTGGTTGTGAGAGGGGGCTTTAAATAGAGGAGCTTGTGGTGGTTGGCTGGGCTTCAATTTAGGTGCAATCAGCTGCTTATGTGAAAGGGAGAGATGTGTAAGTGACCAATGGGGGTTGGACACATTGGATGAGTGCAACTGGTTTGGTTTAAGATTGGGTAGCTCTCGGTTTTGGGGCTCTCTGGTGACTAGGCCTGTCGGACATGCCAAGAGAGGTGCCCAGTTAGCTCAGGAATCTCACAGAAGTCTTAATAGTGATTAACTTGGGGACTGGGAAGGCTGGTGGATGATCTTCCCTTGGTTTAGCCACATTTGGTAAGAATCCCATAAATTAAGGGATCTTGGTCCATGGCTCAACTAGGTTGGTCTAAGTGGATCTAGGATTGTTCTTATGGTCCAAATATTGGCTATGGTGAGCTTGGGTTGGTCAATTTGGTTTGATTTTGTCAAATGTATGGCTTGGGTCCAAAAATGGGGCTTTGGGTCAAATTTCGTTGTAGGTTGGGTTTGGGCTAAGGTTTGGGTCAAATGGTTAATCAATTTGGCTTGGATGATTGTCATGATAAGTTTGGAAAAGGAATTGGGTGATTTTAAATTGATTTGAAATGTCAATTTGTTGGAATTTGGGCTTTTGGTCAATTTTGGGGCATTTGGGTTAGAATTGGGTTTGAATTGGGCTATGGTTTGGATATGGTTGAATTTATGGTTCAATTTGACGGGGGTGATTGTTATGAAGAGTCTTAGACATTAATTGAGTGGAAATTTGGGAGTTAAGTGGTTCAATTTGATGGACTTTGGGTTTTTGGTCAAAATTTGGGGTTTTAGCTTAAGTTGGATTGTGGTGAGCTTTTAGTTCAAATTTGGGTCAATTTATTGTTTAAATTAATTTGGGGAAGTGTTATGTAGAATTTAAAACTCAAATTCGGGGAAATTGATTTGATCATGAGGTTCAATTTGGGGGAATTTAAGGGTATGGCTAAATTGGGGGTTTTGGATTGGGCTTGCAATTGAGCTTGAAATTGGGTTCAATTAGGCTTGTATTTGGTTTCAATTGGGATTGGTGGTGATTAATTTGAGTTTGGAGTTGAAATTGGGTGAGATTGAAATCAAGTTGGTGGAATTTGGGAGTGATTTGGGCAAATTAGGCATTTAGGGGCGATTTGGGGATTTTGGTCAACTAGGGTCAATTTAGTCGAATTGGGCTCAATGGAGTGATTCAAATTGATTTTGGGGACATTTGGAGTGGTTTTGGGGATTTTGGAAATTTTTGGAATTTTTGGGGTTTTAAAGGTATTTTGGTAATTTTGTGGATTTTGGAAAATTTGGGGTGTTATCGCCAACTTGAGTGATTTAGAATGGTTTGAAATTATTTTTGAAGAGACTTTGAAACTTTGGGTAATTTTGGGAATTTTTGGAAAATCTCGGGTTTAGGAGCAATTTGGTAATTTAGGAAAGTTGGGGCCAAGAAGGGTCAAAATTGGGATCAATTGAGAATGTTAATCATAAAATTACCCTTTTTTGAGCCATGATACTATAGGAACTTCCATTTTGGATCCTCCATGTGCTGGCCTTAGCAAAACCTTAGCCCAGGGCTAATGGTTTAGGGGACCATCCACATGTGTTTCCAATAGAGTAAGGGATCAAGCTAGGCACATTTGGGTTAGGTTTTAGGTTGTGAGTGCAGGTGCAAGTGTGTGTGTGCAAGACTGACCAAGTTCATACCACCCAGGGCTAACCCTAAGACCAAAAAGTCCTATGTGGACTCCTCTTGAGCTCCTCTATATTGGTCCCACGTACTAAGTGCTAGAGGTTAGAACTAACATGTGGATTTTCAAGATGAGCAAAGAAGAGTTTTAGAATTTCTATTGGTGAGGGTTCCATCAGTAGTCTTCTAGGAATAATCAGCTGGAAAGTCCTATGGCTAGATTCTAGGCTTCTAAAGAAGAAACTAGACCTCAACCAAAAGTGAGGTCAACAACCATTATTGAAATCTCATGATTAGGTTAAGGTCAAATAAGGTTACTTAAAACATCCAATAAAAAAAATCTTTTCAATCCCTTAAACAATTGTAGACCTATCCAAGAAGATCCTTCTGTTATTAAATGAATATTTATTAAATGAATACTAGAATATGCATATTTCCTCTTGGGATATGTTAGGAAAAGTTCGAGGCTCAAGAAACCAAAAGTCTATTAAACTAAGAACATAACCAATCTTGCATTTATAAATAGATAATGTTGACACCTGGTTATAAGAATCACTTTATTCAAAGAAGAGACTTTGAATGATCAATGATTGTTTATTGAATATGGAACAAATAACACATTTTTTATAAGAAGTGAGAAATTTATTTCTCAAATTGAATTTCAATAGGAAGAAAAACATTTATAGTTACTTAATCATAATAAATTGGATTATTTAACCTTATTTATTAGCAAAAAGGGGAATAATAGTTCCTTATGAAAAGGAGAGCTTTTGACTAAAACTTAGTAATGTTGATAGAAAAATACTCTTATCTGCACTAAATATTGTCTTCAAAACCAAAATTTTATTGTGAAATAAGACTTGCATACTAAATAATTTTTGATAAACATTTTTGGTGGTGGACAAAGTCATAGAAATCCTCATATCCTAAACTATCTCAATTCAAAAGATATATAATCCATTTTTAAAATTTTAAGTGAGTATTTAGCTTTTATTAAAATTAAACTTAAGAGGTTTATTTATTAATCATAGAGGGTGGAGGCAATGCTGGTCTAAAGCCCACCATTATATAATGCCTCTAATTAGTGAATAAAATAAATCACTTCGTGAATTTTGAGACAACGATTGAAAATAATTATGAAATTTAAATATTAAAAAAAACCAAAATAAGTTTATTAGAGATTCAAAGATCAAATTTAAGATTATTAAAAATTAAAATGATAGAATGATGTATTTTGATTGAGATATTTTTCTTTTTCATTGAAATTATTTAAAGGAAATAGGTCACAAAATGGAAACTAATAGTTGTCATATGAAATATAGCTTGTTTAAATTTTTATTAGATGAATTATGCATAAATTAATAACCTCAATCACATAAAACCATGTAAGTTTATTAAAAGAACAAGCCCTATGATGCCTTGCCTGGAAAAGAGGGCTTCAATAACACTTGGCCTACAAATAGAGAGAAAAAGATGGGTTTGTTCCATCCTCTTCAATGCTTACTTTTCTAACCTGATTCAAGGCCTTTTGATGATTTGATTTTATTATTTTTGAAGTAACTAAAATCAACTTGAAAAATTAATCATTTTGGTTATAAATTTGTATTTTTATAGTTTATTTAGTTTCTAAATATATTAAGGAAAATTTTTATGATCTATGCTTTTTGTAAAAAATCATGCTTATTCAATTCAAAAATCAAGACATCTAGAAAAAGAGCAATGACGTCCATATTTTATATTGTTATGATTATTCAAAGTAATGTTATGTGATCAAAAGGTTGAAAATTGAGACATGCAAGGATCTCTCGTTGAAATAAATATTTAGCTCTCACTCTATAATGGATTATTAAATATTTACAAGTTAAACATATTATTCTTAACTTTTTTAGAGAAAATAAAATAGATAAAATAATATGATAACATTCTCATATATAACAAAACATAAGATATACTTCATTTTTCATTAGACATCACTTAGTAGAAAGGCAACTTTCTAACATTTTATCCTTGTGCAAAAAATAAAATTCTTCAAGAATTTATTTCCTTGACCAATTTACTTAGGCTTGATATTTAGGCTTGATATTTTTTTATTTTTTTCTCAAATGATATCTTTGTTATTATAAGTCGTATTTCACAAACAAGCATCATCAACATATTATGTTGATTGTAAGAGTGATGGGAGCATCTATAAAAAAAAATTGATGTGATAAGTATCCATATTACATAACTCTTATTTGATCAAAGATTTATTTATGTCTCCGGATGAGTTGGTCTGTAAATATTCAAACGAATAGTTTAACGACCCTATCATTCATTAAGTGGTTGCACCTAAGTGGTTGCACCGGTCTTCCATTCGTTGCATAATCCTGTAAAAAGAGAAATTGTAAGTGTTAATAGATTGCTTGCAAGAATATAAGAAAGGTAGCTTCTTTATTTTTTGGTCTCGAGAGAACTTACATCTATAGTAGCTTCTTTTAATAAATTCAGCTGCTTTGTTGATATAGTGCTTATCTACACAAAATGATTATTATTTATATGTTAACAAAATAATATTATTTTATAAGCATTAAATTGAAGGCTGATGTTTACTTTATAAATGGGAAAAGATCAAAAATACCTTTTTATTGATAGTCCATGTGACATCTTCAGTGCATGGTGGAATAGTTATAGATCCCATCAATCTATAGTATTTTTTAGTCATTCTACTTACCTTCTTAGGATCAATGATTCCAATGTCCACTTTTGCACCAATATTCTTTTTTATTGTGGAAATATGCCTCTCAACCTAATATCAATGATAATGTTTACAATTATAATTAATGATAATGTTTAAGTACTGAAAAACAAACATTAGTACATATTCAATTATAATAATTTATAGATTTACGTAAATTATCGCTTTATAATAAAACATACTCATGCATTTATATGGAGCATATATGCATAAACTTATAAGGTAACAAATTGAATACCTTGGTGAAGAATGGATCTGGATCACCGACTTTGAATAAGTTGCTTATCATAGCCATTTTATGGCCAGTAGTTTGTTGGTGAAGCAAATGAACCTCTAAATCAAATCTGATTTGACCAATATATTAATAATTAGTGCTTTGAGTACTAAGATTTCTGAGAAATATTAGTGATTATTAAAGATATGTTTTTATTTGAGATAGGAAAATTATATTTATAGTATTTTGAACTATAACAAGTTCCATCAATGGGTCATATAAAAAATTGCTTGCTTTGATAACTATTATCCTAGTTATAGAATATGACTATTGTTTTGCATGCATATAAATCCTTAAGTAATATCACACATTTTTATTTTTATTTTACTAAAGAAGGCAATTTGCAAGTGTATGAACTATTTTTATTGAGAGATTCAATTTGAATAAATATTCATAACTCTTACCGATGACCATTAATTATATTTTCTGAAGGCATATGCCAATGCATTTGTTTTAGCGAGTATTCTGAATATTACATAAATCCTATTTGATCAAAGATTTATTGAAGTCTCTGGATGAGTTGGTCTGTAAATATTCAAACGAATAGTTGAACGACCCTATCATTAAGTGGTTGCACCGGTCTTGCATTCGTTGCATAATCCTGTAAAAAGAGAAATTGTAAGTGTTAATAGATTGCTTGCAAGAATATAAGAAAGGTAGCTTCTTTATTTTTATAGCTAAACTCTTCATGCTCTGCATTTGAGGACCTCATTATAATATCAAATATCATAAAAAAGATGAAATAAAATCTTCAAACAAAAAGATATGCAAATACTGTGTATTCAATAGTAGTTCATATACCATAGGCCAATGAACAATGTTTGATATAGAGAAAATCCACTATAGAGATGATGAGGAAAAGTTGCCTAAAAAGCTCCATTATAGACTTCATTGGCAACCAGAAAGTATGAGAAAACGTAAATGAGAATGAAATTTATGTAAATTCGAGTTCTATTTATAGTAAGCAAGGCTCTCCATTTCCCATCCAAAGTCAAAGTAAACAGGCGTTAAAATATTGTTAGGGACAGCCAAACATCTATTTATTTAACTTTGTTTTACTGTTATCTTTTTTAAAAATCTGTTAAGAAGATTTTTTTGTCTTCTTCTAATTCATTCATGAGGCGGCCTTTCAATACATCGTAATTCTTTTTGATTCTGTTGTTTCAGACAAATTAATCATGTTCAAGTCCCATCACGCGTGTACGTATTCTGAGGGCTGTTTTCTAAATAGTTGTATTCAAGATAATAACTAATATTTTATAGCTGTATTAAAAATATGGTTATCTCCTATAGCTTCCATTTTTAATTAGAGGATTGATTCCAAATGGAATTTACAACTGTAGAATCCATATGGAAATTAACACGCATAGAACTTTGATAACTATAATACAAGTTATAGAAAATGACTAGTTTTTGCATGCAAATAATTCTTTTTTTTTCTTTTACTAAAGATAGCAATTTACAACTATAATAACAATTTTCATTGAAAGATTCAATTTGAATAATTAGACACAACACATACCGATGACCGTTAATTAAGTTTTTTGAAGACATGTGCCAGTGCATTTCTTTTAGCGAGTAAACTGTCATATTGAGCCAAACAGCTCCCACCGTGGATTGTGAGTGCCCAGTTTTACATGTCTCCCAATCCTTACCGATATCTTCCAAATGCTCTGACCCATTCCAGGCCCCTATTTTAAAGCTAAACTTTTCATGCTATATTCATTATCAATTCAAATATCATAAAAAATATGAAA